GGTTTAGGATTTATGGTTTAAGGCTTAGGGTTTAAGGCTTAGGGTTTAAGGCTTAGGGTTTAGGTCTTAGGGCTTAGGGTTTAGGGTTTGGGCTTCGTGTTTAGGATGTAGGGTTGTGGGGGATTGGATTGGAAGGAGACTGTCGGAGTCCGTCTTGAAGATGAAGACTAGTTTTCGACTAGTTATATTGGGTGATATATGTTACATAGGGCTATACAAGGCTATATGGGCTTATATAAGGCTATATAGGACTAGCTTGAGGGTTTTGCATTTAGGGGATCGCAGGGTTTCGGATTTCTTTCCACTTAAACCCGAACCCTTAAACCCTAAACCCTCAACCCCTAAACCGTAATCCCTAACCCTAAGGCTGGTTGTCCTGTAACCAAGCAATTTGAAGTGAGAGAGGCTTTGGCACTAAGAGAAGCTTTGTTTCCCGCAATCCTAAATCAAGCACCAGGGTCAGGGTTTAGGGTTTAGGAACTATCCTATGGCTCTTGGACGTCATTGTGATATGGGTTGGGGTTACCAAATCCCTCCTGTGTTCCCAAATCCCAAGGCAAGAGCTCTATGACTGTCCTATCAGTCTCACACGTCGTTATGATGGCGATTTCGCTTACCAAAATACTCTCATTATTGGCATGCTTCGCGAAGGGCATGAGCATTTCGCATGCGAAGCCAGAAGCCTTGGAGCCCTACGACTAAGGGCAATTCAAACAACTCCCTCGGTATAGGATTTTGAGTACATGATGCTTGGGCTATGTAAAAGATGTAAGAGAAGAATGTTGAGAACTGTACAAACTTGTAAACTAGCTTCTGCACGGTTTGGGGCAAAGGGTGAGAAGACACGATTTGCTACCTGCATGTTCTGGCAGGAGCCAGGGAAAGCAAACCCTCAACCCTCAAACCCTAACCCCTCAAACTTAAACGCAAATGGATTTAGGAGTCTAGCGGAGCTTCTTGAGCGGTGCTCTACCTTCCTGGTATCCTGGGGCTTAGGGTGGTTAAACCCTCAACCTTTAACCCTAAACCATAAACCTTGAACTCTAAACCCTAAACACTTGGGCTGGCAACCTTGAACTACAAGCGGATTTTAATCACCCCAACCCCTAAAATTAGGACTCTGTTTTGATCGCATGATAGTTATAGGGTCCTCATTATAAGGGTTGGGGAAACTTAAAGCCCCGAATTAAAGAAAACAAGCCACTTGTTCGTTTCAGCCAACCCTTCTAAAAAACACACACACACACACCATAAACCCTAAACCCTAAACCTAGTTACAGCTGAAAGCTGTTGTGACACGATGAGCTGAAGTTGCTCTGATCAAACGCCTTTAGGGTCGAGGGTGTACCCGAAACCCATTCTACGGGGAAAGGGTTGTCACCAACGCCTCTTCCGGATGAAAACGCAGATTAGCATTTGGGGTGTGAGGTTTAGAGGCTACACCTAAGGAACCCGATACACCTTGATGAAGGAATGTTTCTCGAATCGCATGAGGGGATCCTTATACAAGAAAGGTATGTGCCGTCATCAAAGTATATGAACCCAAAATCCTAAGCCCTAAACCCAGGTCTCCAAACCCAAGGGTTCGAACCCTCGGAAGCACTGGTCTTTATGGCATGTTCCCAATTGCCACACATTGTGCCCGAGAACAATGACACTGCTGCAGGAAAGCGGGAGCGAACAAGCCCGACCGAGATTCAGTTTAGGGTGTAGGGCTTAGGGTTACCACTGGCAGCCATCTTTTTCCTACACACTCCGGCGCGGAGAAATCCAGCGCATTCATGACTCCGACTCTGGGTACGGAAAGGGCACATGCAGTTTAAAGGCTACATGAACAAGCACACTGCTTACAAGAAATGCCGGGAGTCTAGAGATGCAGCGCCGGTTTTTCCAAATGGGTGTATTTTTTCAACGCCGTATAAGCGAACATACAAAAGTGCAAGGTTGTTTTTCCAAACTCTCATAGTTTACTCCCAGACACTGCAACAACGAAGCCGATAGCAGCCAGGAGGCATTCCGAAGCTGCACGCAAGCCTGCAAGCAGAGAAAATAGCTTCGCGTGATTTGGGATTTTGGAGTTTAGTGGTCCAGATTCAACCCTAAACCCCAAACCCTAGGCCCAGGGACTTAGGGTTTTCCAGTTTGGGGTTGAAGGGGCTTAGAAATTTGCAGAAATCAGGCTTAAGGGTCTTGGGCTATAGGGATGTAAGGTTAGTTCTTGTATAAACCCTAAACCCTAAACCCCAAGCCCTGCACCCTAAACCATTCTAAAATTTGGAGCTGACCATTTGGGCATATAGGGACCTGTAGCATAGAGATTTTGTGTAGGGAACGTAGGGATGCATAGGGTCTTAGGGTTTACATTTCACAGTTCAGGGTTCAGGGGCCGTGGAAGTTAGACTGGGAAGCTGATACTTCTTGGGCATCCGCAAGGTTGGGCCCCAACCCACTAGCCGTGACCACTAGCGGGTAATCGCAACGATATTTGGGCCCCTATATGAGCTATAGTCTAAACTCCTTGAAGGGGGCTATAGAGGGGATATCGATATCCGGGAGTGTCGTGTGGTTTTTAAGGTCGATACTAGAAGTTTAGACTGTAGCTCACATGTTCTTCTAGTCGCACTAGTACGGGGTGGGTGCCTAACCAAAGGCATAGGGTACACCCCCCCACCCGCCCACCCCCAAATAATAAAATACTCCCATTATGTGGTATATAATGAAAATCATGAGAGTATTTAGAATTAGGGAAGGGTGGGGAGTTTGATATCAGACCTAACCCCTAAACCCTTAGCCATTGCTTTGCCTGTAAAGTTCGCTTAGAAAGGAAAGAAGCGTGGGGATAACAGACACTGTTCCTCTTGGGATTTAGGGTTTAGGGGGTGGTTTAGGGTTTAGGGATTTAGTCTTTAACCCTAGACCCTAAACCCTTAGGGTTATGTTCTGAAGGATGATTTGGGAAAGCAGCTTGATGCTTTCGACCCTTCTCCCTCAACCCTAAAGGCATAATGGCTTGGATAGGGTTTAGGGTTTAGGGGTTCATGAGATTCGTGGTGAAGAGGTACAGTTGATGCTGAACATCCTGCATAATCCTTCTTACCATCAGCCTTGGCAAGCATCAGAATTTTGTACCCAAAGGTCATGAGGGGTTTTAGATATCAACCGTAGAGCTTAACTACAGCGTCCTGCTCAGAACCTGCCATTTTGCCTTCCTAGTGGCCACTATACTTATGTAAGGGTTATTGGGGAAAATATGTAATTTTGGAAGCTTCCCTACGTGACAATGGCAACCAGGCCCAGTTATAAACCCGGTCTCCATTTCATGTTGCATCAGCTTTTCCATCTGAGTCTCCACTATTCCAATTATTCTGTCCCTTAGACTCTGCTAAACCATGAAACCTATTCATCTTCATGATTTATTCAGGCTTCCGCCATTGGGACTTTGCGAGATATGGGGCTCTCCCTTACATACCTCAAAATAATGTAGACCCCTAATTCATAAACCCCCTCCTTTTCAGGGCCTTCATATTAGGATCCCTACTATTATCCCTATTAAGGGTAGCGGGTTTATTAATCACATCCTTAAACGCTAAACCCTAAACCCTAAATAGCACTTTTCATTGTATTTTCCAGTATGCCAAGATAAACCCAATATGACCCCTGTAGGGGCCTGGGTTACTCTACTCCCTATTATAAAGACACCTGATGAAGCATCCCCTGACCGCAAAACCAGAACCTTAAAGCCTAAACTCTGGGTTCATAAGGTAGTATATAGGGCTTCTGTAGGGATGATGGAAAAGAAAATGGAAACTACTATTTGGGTTTTAGGGTTTAGGGTTTAGGGCTTACGAGGTTTTAGTTTATCCCTTAAACCGATGTAAGCTGCATAAACTCTTCTAAGCACCATGCTGTTGGTTGAACCAAATAAGATCATGTTTGAGTATGCCCAAAAAAGAGGATATAGTCTCACTCTACATTGGTTTTGGGTTTGGGGACCATACTATCCCCAAAACCCTGAATTTTACCCTAAACCCCTTCCCCTTGAGAATACGACTCACTTGGATACATCTGGCCTGGACCGTTCGCCTGCTTCCAGGTGGCCGAACAAACTGAAGCTCCTCCGCTTGGAGGGCTGGGTATTGGGGTATGAGTGAGTGTTTAGGTGGTTGAACCTCTAGGCAATTAGGATTCAGGTTTGGCCTTCAGGATTTGAAAGTTTAGGGTGCGAGGGTTTAGGGCTTGAGGTTTACAGGCTTTAGGGTTCAAGTTTCAGGGTCTAGCATGTGGAGTCCTAGTTGTAGGAAGTTTGGGGTGTATAGGTAACGGCTCTCTTTCTGGAGGTTCGGCTTGGAGCGTTCATGTTAATCGCTCGGGGTCCTGCGCAACGTAAAACACCTGTGTCTTATAAACTCTATGGCATGGCACTTAGACCAATGAGGCAAGTTTGCACGATTGTCATATTGCAGGCCTATGGGGGAATGACATGACATTTTGCTAGCCACATCTACGCATTAAATACTCTAAACCGCAACTCCCTAAGCCCTGAACCCAACACCAAAAACCTAAACCCCAAACCCCAAACCCGGAACCCTAAACCCCAAACCCGGAACCCTCAACCCTGAACCCTAAACCCTAAATCCGAGAACTCTGAAACCCTAAACCCCAAGACTGGAACCGGAACCGTGAACTGAAGCAGACACGGCACCGCTACAGTCTTCTGGAGAGCCGTTAAAAGTGGCCCAACAGCCACAGGGTCCAGCGACTTTCCTCAGTTTAGGGTTTAGGGTTTAGGGTTTGGGTTTGGGGTTCAGGGTTTAGATTAAGGTGCCTGAGTATCTTAGGGTTTACTTAACATGGGGTCCCTGCAGAGAGGCTCGAGGTATGTATAGGGTTCGGGCTTTTGGATTTCTGCTCTGGGCTTAAGTTGTTTGTGGTTTAGGCTTCACAGTTGAAGGCTCAGGGTTCCGAGTTTAGGGCGCAGGGTTTAGGGGTTACGTTTAAGGTTTTGGGTTTAGGGGTCTGGAGAGCAGGGGCTTAACAAGGTTTATGCTGAGACGAAGACAGACGTCCAAGTACATGTCCTACTCATATGGCCGGGAAGGAGGATCCTGCTTAGGCGGTAACCCAAGGTTATCGCTGAGAAATCCAGAGAGCCCTATACACCTGAAATGATAGTCAGGGTTTAGGGGTTCAGGGCTTTAGAATGTAGGATTTAGGGTCTAGGGTTTAGGGCTTAGTTGCTTGGGTTCAGGGATTCCTAACGTGATGCAATTCACATTCCTAAGCCACGCACCCCCTTCAGCATGCATACCTCGCACCGCTATACTACTCCCTGATGACAAAATGGTTCAGGGTTGTGGGTTCAGGCGATTAAGCGTTTAGGGCTTAGAGTTTAGGGGCGTTTCTGCTTCTTGGGATTGCTGCGCTAGGCTAACTCAAGGAATTTGCTTCCTGGGCCTCGTGAACTTGGCACCTGAAAAGCTTGGTTTCAGGGCGCTGGTTTTTGTGCAGAAACTTTCTCGTTGAGCTAACCCTAAACGCTGAACTCCAAAAACGTACCGTTGATACTAACATTCCTGTATGAGCATAGAATACTATAGCACCATAGTTCCCTAGGTTTTGGTGTATTTAGGGTCATGATGCATTTTTTGTATCCAGCGTAACTCCCAAAACCCGTCGTGGCTGCCAGCTCTGGGCCTTAGGGCGTGGCATACGGCTCAACCCCAAACACTAAACCTTAAACTCGGAGCCTCCACACCCCGAACCCTAAACCCCAAACCCGGCACCCTTGGCCCTAAACCCCAAAGCCTAAACCCTAAAGTCCAAATCCAAAGGAAACCCAAACCCTAAACTTCAGGAACAGGGAGACCCCAGCTCTCACCAGCATAGAAGCAAAATGTCAATACATGACAATAGCGGCTTCATGTTTAAGGATATGTGGGGGTTTCCCAAAAATTAAGGGTACCCTTGTAGGGGTTCCCATAATAAGGACTATAAAGTTTTGGGCTCTATATTGGGGTCGCCCTATTTAGGGAAACTGCAAATGCAGGGTTTAGGGAAATTGGGTTAAGGGAAATTAAAATTGACACTGAAGGTTCTCAGAACAGGGGGATACCCAGGCGATCCAGAGTTCCTACTAAGAACAACATGGGCAGTTATTTGGACAAGCTGAAACAACTTCTTCCGACTGCCATACCCGTTGCGGACAAAGACTTGCATGACCCTAGGTAGATGGTAGTTTCCACAAATAAGGGGACGCCAACATAGATCCCAAAAAAACCTAAGCCCTAACCAAACACCCTAAACCGAAGATGACACCCCAGATTGCGAGAAACCCCCAATGGTCTGGAAATCATGGTAACCCTCACCCCCAACTTACCACAGCTTAGCTGCAGAGCGTAAAGTTTCGGGCTTCAGCCAGGTGGTGATTTAGTTTAGGGTTTAGGGTTGAAGTCCTTAAGGTTTGGGGTTTCAGGTAGTTACCCAAGTACTCGGACACCAAAAACACGTCCAAAACGGTCTCCCGCTTATTGGAAACTCTCATTGCTGGCAGTGAACAAGATGACGATCATGTCTGAACGCGTGCGCCTAAGCCCTGAACCCTGAACTGCGTGATCTCAGGATGAATTTGAAGGGCATGCAACTGATCAAGCACCTACCGGAAAGTAGACGTGAAAGCATGCCCTATACTGAATATTTGTAGACAGCGACATGTGTATATGTTGAGGTCTCTTAGCGATGTATGCCTCATGCAAGGTCCACATTCTATATGCGGAGAGGGTTTGTGCCCGGCTCTTAATTGCTCAAGCAGCGACCTGAAACCCTTCGACGTTTACTTGGAGGTTCAGAGCAACTATAGTAGGGGTTTGATCCCTTTGAAAGAGTTGAGGGTAAAAATGGCGTTTAGAGCATAAGTTGATACTCCCGTTGTAACTGCACATACATCCCAACTACATGTCTCTTAGGTCCACGAATATGCTTCAGATTGGATTATAAGTACCAATTATAAATACAATGAACCTCCACGCAAAAAAAGGTCACAACAAGCCGCAAATAAACGAACCTAAGCCAATCACTCGCATTTTCAACAACCCCCCAGTTAGCTGTAGCCCCCTACATCTCTCCATGTTCCCGTCCACCCCGACATTCCCAATCCGTGGTACCTGAGCTGTAGCTGCGGAAACGCCCTTGGCACAGGTCTTAGTCCTGCCCGTTAAAGATCCAAACTAGACATGGTAGTTTGCCAAAATGTGGGTACCCAAATATAGACCCCGATAGTCCTCATTATTGGGGCCTCAAAAAAGGTACCCCTATAGATGGTAGTTTCCCCAAATATAAACCCCAAAATATTTGTTTTTGGGAAACCCCCATTGTTGCTTTTGGAACAGCGGCCTGCCAGCTGCTGTAGCTGTCGAACACATTGACGAAACGCCTGCGCGAGAGCAGATTGAGATATCTGCCATAAAGTTTGAAGTTTTAGGGTTTAAGCCTAAACCCTAAATCCTAAACCCTAAACCCTAAACCCTAAACCCTAAACGAATATTCATCACCGTCACCAACGTCACCATCACCTCCATCAAGGATAGTAATGACATCATGGCAGAGGTTCGAAGCGACTGAACCCGCAAAGGCTTGTAGCAGCAGCTGCAACCATAGGAACAACAAAGGGACTCTACTGGGGACCCCAAATAGGGAACCCCAAGAATATAGCAGGAATATGATATTCTTGGGGTTCCCTATTTGGGGTTCCCAGTAGAGTCCCTTTAAACAATATGTAAATACATACGTATTTACTTATAACTTTACGTACATATGTATATGTATATGTGCATATATATATATACACATTTCATGATGTCACGTTGTATTGTATGTAGTATATCACGTTTTGTGTCTGATTCTATGGTGTTAAAGCACTGATGCTATAGCAAAACTTGCGGTGGTCTTGGCCGCAGCATGGCCATGGAAGTGGCAGTAGTGGCAGCAGTAGAGGCGGCCATAGGGTTTAGGGTCTAGGATTTCGGGTGTAGGGGTTTAGGGTCTAAGGTTTAGCGCGTTTAGGGTTTAGGGTGTAGGGGTGTAGGATTTAGGGACTAGGGTTTAGGGTTTAGGATGTAGGGTGTAGGGTTTGGGAACGAATAGACCGATATAACCCCCGCATACCCCGTATAGAAACCCTGAATAAGCCCTGCATACACCCCTATAGAAGGCCTACCTAAACGCTACGTACATAATTACTACGTACACCTCGACGGAAACCCCACATAACTTCATATAACCCTAAACTGTAAGCCCTCTAGAACCCCATGTAACCCCAAAACCCTACGCCCCATATGACCTCCAGAAGCTCTAAACCCTAAACCCTACACATCACCATATACCTATACCCTAAACCCCCATGTCACCCACATGTGTTACAGGCTTCGGCCTCCTCTGCCCGCAAGCTTCGCTGCTGCCGCGCTACGCGCACTGCGCGTGATGCAGGGGTCTGGCAGCGTGGGCAGCAGAGTGCCTTTGGGCGGTTTAGGGTTTAGGGTTTTGGGCAGAGGACCGCTGGGTTATGTTGTTTAGGGTTTAGGGCTTAGGGTTCGGGATCTAGGGTTTAGGGTTATAGCGTCTGTATACGTGTGTTGAAGGAATCATGGAAAAACAAATGTAAAATGGAACGGAAACTGGGGTATGTAAGGATCCTTTTGGGGCTTAGGGTACAAAGCGGAGGAATGGATCGCTATGGTAGCCCCTGCATAGCCTGCAATCATGATTGGAAAATTGCATTTTCTCATTCTATCCCTTTGTTCCCTACTAACAACATACACCAGAATCCATGCGATTTTCCATTTGTTTTTTCATTGACGCTACATAACAGCTACACAGAACCCACCCTAAACCCTAAATCCTAAACCCGCTAAACCCTAAACCCTAAACCACCCGCAAATCCCAGGGCTGAGGTTGGGTGCTTTAGGGCTTGTCGGGCTGTGCGGTTCAACCATGCACGGTTCAATATCTGACTGGGGGGCTGAAGCTTGGCTTAAGGTTTAGGGTTTAAGGTTTCGGGTCTGGAGAAAAGCTGGGAGATGTAGGATTCGTAGTGGGGGGGTGAGCCTGGGTCGTGCGCACCCACCAATAATTCAAGTTGTTTGCTTAACTGGTGATTAGTAGGGAATACGGGCATATATGGTTACCATGTATAGGGTTTAGGGTTAGGGTTAGTACGGAATGAGGGAATACATTATAGCGGCAATATCTATGAATTATATGCAGATTATATTCCCCTGTTCCATACTAACCACCAGTTTGCTTTTCAGACAGCTTTTGAAACAAGACATTGTTGTCAATCAGGTCGTCGGTGGCTTGGGCATGACAAACTCAAATTGTTGCTGGATTACCCTAGCCTTAGCCCCTAAACTCAGTGGATTCAAAGGGTTTTTACTTTTGTTGTTCTCAGGATCAGTATTACTGCTAAAATAGTTCTCGTTGTTTTTACAATCGTATTATTCCAGGCTAACATCAGCGTTCATCAAGCCAGCACTGATTTTTTAAGGAAGGTCGAACGGGCAGTCTTCTGACCGCAGCATTAATGTGGAGAGTTCTAATCAGAGTACGCAGGCAGCATTAACAGGATCAGTTACAGGGGTCCCTACTACACATTCCTATGATGGGCCGTTTGGCAGGGCCAGAAGTAGGAAGCGCTCAAAAGGCGACCCTCAAAATGGGGAATTTGGAAAGATAAACCAATTGCAGGAACTACCAATCGCCCCTCAATCCGGCACTGTCATCTAAACTATGTAAAGCCCACTCAATTGCCAATATTGCGGTCCTGGGCTTCTTGTACGATAAAAGTATAGCTTCATTGGGCAGCTGCAAATGCTGTAAATCAAAGTTTTCGTGGCTGCTCAACTTCCGCAAATACTGTAAATTGCGGTATTCGTAGCCTTCCGAGAACTCCAAATGCTGCGCTTTGCTGTATTCGTAGCTTTGCAAGAATTACAGATGCCGTGAATAATTGCTAATTTTTCGGAACTCTTTCTTCAAACATCCACACATTTGCTTGGGAATGGACATCTTGCGGGGACTGTCTTCACATTATGCCTTGAAATCGAACTCTTACGCAGAACAGTCCCGCATTTGGAAACGAAATCGCGCTCTCACGTGGAGCTTTTTGTCGGATTTTGAGACAGATTCGAACTCTCGCGTGGAGCTTTGTCGCCTTTTGAAATGGAATCGAGCTCTCGCATGGAGCTTTCCGAATTTGATTCAACATTTCGAGACGGAATCGAGCTCTCGTGTGGACCTTTCCTGCATTTGGAAACGGAATCGCACTCTCGCGTGGGAGCTTCTTGCATTTTGAGACGGAATCGTGCTCTCGTGTGGGGATTTCTCGCATTTGAAATGAAATCGTGCTCTCGTGTGAAAAATAACTAATGTTAATCTGGGAGCTAGTTCTGTACTGGTAATGTGGAAAAACTCCAAGGTCGCAGCAAATGCAATACCAAGATTGTTTGTCGTGGTCTACGTCTGCTAGTAGATGCACGGGCTCCGCAGCTAGTAACCGCTTGAAATTATTGGCCAAGGGTTAGCTTACTCGCGCATATACCCTTTAAGCACCAGTGGGTGGCCTAAACCCTAACCCCTAAACCCTAAACCCAGAACCCTAAACCCTAAACCCTAAACCCTGAACCCTAAACCCTAAACCTAAACCCTACGGGTTGGATGAAGTTTCCAGGCACCGGAAAAGCATGGGGAAGGTGGCTTGGGACTGGATGTTGTCGAGGTAGCCTTGAACCTGCCCTGAAGGTTGGGGTTTAGGGCTTAGGGAAGAAGCAATATGGGTTAGGGTTTAGGGTTT